TTGTCGTGTCTTGCTTATTTCGGTCTCATGTCGTGTGACACCTGTGGTTGATACGCTTGGCGGGCACCTTTTTGTTACATTCCGGGTTTGGGTTTTATTTGTCGTACAATTTGGTTATTAATCGCCTCTGGGATTAAATAACTACTTAATCCTTGTGGACCTTCTTGCACGACCCGCCTACAGTACACAACCACTCGCTGCTGGCACACCTGACGAGGGAACAATCTCAGAAGCCATAACTTAACCGCAAGCATGATTGAAGAACGACCACACAACAGCGACATGGTGGTATAATCCACAAACTTCCCCAATTGTCCTCAGCACTGCAGTTGTCAGGGACGCCACGGAAAACCACCTGCTCGAGCAACAAAGCAAGAAAGCAGGTTCTCTTCTACACCTTGAACATGCCTTGTTGGACAAGCTGAGGTCACTTGTATCGCCGGCCTCAACCCAAAATCTGCAAAATCCCAAGACATGTTTCCCGAGGTTTCGAGGAGTTTGGACAGAACATCGCGGTGCCGGTCTCTGCAGGATCGCTCTGTTCAATGCAGGTGTATGACTTCGACTGGCTGAGCGAGGCACTACCATGTCCGGCGCACGGCTCCAGGCACACGTCTCTTACAACATTGAATTCCACAGCTAGCCAGTTGAAAGGTTTGATCCGAAAGAGAACATCATGTGAGGCTGCATCCATGAACATCGCATTATTTCTGTCAGTCCTCGATCCAACACGGTCTTTTGAAGCAACGATGTCGTAAAGTAACTGCTAGAGCTTCCAGCAGCTGCCGTTCTGCGTGAGGTCTGCGATCATGCTGAACCTGGACAGGGCATAGCATCTGCACCGCCTCGTCCGAGACCGCATGTCCGTGACAACGAGAACGGCATGCTATCGGAGATCCATGAAAAAACGTCCACGAAGCCCATGCAGCCAAGTGCTTTGATGTTGGATCAGCTGCTGTGGACACGTGTTGCGAGCATCTCCGTGCGATGGTCTGTGGATACCCAAGCCATGTCTCGATTGATTCCGTGTCACGCATGCCGAGGCAATGCAAAACTTCTTGGGAAAAGAGCGGGCTCAAGCCAAATTGCCGCTCAAGGGTGGGAGCGTGCAATCTAGCCTGGTTCCCGTCTCGCTGCAGCTCTGGGTTGCACAACAACCTCAACTGGCGTTCGGCTGGCTTTCCAACAACGTGGACAAACTCGGCCCAAAACTGCTCAGGAACGTGACCATGCCACTGCAGAATTTCTGATGCCACCACGGCCTGGCCTGATTCTTGCATATTTGAAGAAGATTGCCTCATGATCTGCCACAGTTGCTGCTGGACCACGGATGCAAGTTGATCCTTGGCCCATCTAGTCAACTCTTCCAGGCACGGCATGACCTGAATTCCAGAGTAGCCAGCCTCGGCTACGTCCAGTGCTGCCTTCAAAGTGACAGGATCCGAACACCCTGCCAAGTCGACATCGAGGACAGACTGCAGCAAAACTCCTGCTCTGTTGAGCTCTGTGGCTTGCTGGCAGGCGGATGCGGCCAAGTTCGTGGCAATGCCGGTGGGAAGTCTCAAAGCCGTCAGCTGGTGAAGGACCTGAAGCGACAGCTCCCAGGCTTGGCCACAAGCACAAGCTTCAAGCACGCCGTGAAAGGTCGTAAGATCGGGCACGAGGCTTCGCCGTGACATGTCATGCAACAAAGCGATTGCATGTCGCCAACTCTCCTTTTGCTTGCAAGAGCCGAGGACGGCATTGTAAGAAATTACATCCGGAAAACGCCCCGAAGAACGCTGGGAATGCGATTCGGATCTGAGCACAGCCAGAGCCGCCCGCCAGTTCTGCACTTTGGAACAGCTGGAGATGGCCACGTTGAAGGCGGTGGGATCGGGGTCTGGCAGCAGGGACTCTCCTACGGCCTCGAACAGGACGGCGACCGCTTCTTGCCACTTCAGGCCTGCTTCACAAGCCGACATGACCGTTGTGAGTGTCACCACGTCAGCTTGCAGGGCGCAAGCTACGCCTGCTGCTGAAAACAAGGATAGTGCTCTTTCCCACTCATGGCTTGAAGCACATGCTCCCAGGACGGGGTTGAGAAGTCCACTCTCGCTCCAATCTGAATTCGGCACGATTTGAAGAAGACTTAGCGCCGCTTCCCAGCTTCCGCAGGATTGGCATGCACGCAACGCCGCGGCAAATGAAATCTTACTAGGCTGCACCACTTGCTCAACACTCATCATCAAGGTCGAGATGGCCATTTGCCAGGCACGGCCCTTCTCCCATGCTGAAATAATAACTCCCAAGGAGACCTCGTCAGGTTTGAGACGTACGCTCTCTGCTCGTGCGCAAACCGCTATCGCAGCATGCCAGGCACTGCTCTTCTCACAGGTACTGGCAGCAATGCTATAGCTTGCAATATCGCACATAGCACTTGCACCGAGCATGTGGATGGACAGCGGCCACTGAAGCTCAGCTTCCAAAACACCCAAGAAAGCATTGATTGATTTCGAGGTTGGAGTGACCTTGGAGGCTGGCATCATTGAGTACAGAATGTGCAAAGCATACTGCCACCCCAGTGCATGCCGGCAATTCCGCAAAAGCACATCGAACGTGACAGATGTAGGTGCCACAGAGGCATGGAACATGTCTGCAAGCATGTCAAACACCATCTCCCAATTTCCCGATCTTTCCAGACCACCAAGAACCGTCGAGTAAACGATAACATTTGGCAGAATCCGCGATGCACCCATCCTGATCATGATTTCTAATGCCGCTTGCCACAATGATCCTCGCTCTGCCGAACTGATGGCAGCACTGAACACTACCACATTCGGTGTGCAAGAGGTCTCCATATCTTGCAACAATTGCAAGCTACACTCCCACTTGCTCGCACGGCCGCAGGTTGTCATTGCAGTTGCGACAGGCACTTGCCAATTACCCGCCTTGCCAGTCCCGGCACCCATCCCAGACAGCAAGAGATGCAAAGCCCACTTCCACTGCCCTGCCTTGTCACATGCTGAGACGGCAGCTCCGCACGCAAAAGCATCGACATCTAGTTTCCTGCTTTTCATAGATCGAAGGAATTCAAGGCATGCCGGCCAGTCCCCAAGGCGAATGCATCCCTGCATGATGGCTGTAAAGCTTCGTGCATCCGGTTGCAGAAGGCTGCACTCAGCAGACATCAAAGTGGCCAAGGCCAGTTGCCAGGACACTGCAGGAACCTCGCTAGCGCAAGCCGCGCAAGCTGTTGCTGCCGAGTTGTAGGAGACGATGTCGGCTTGAAGTGCCCACTCGAAGGCATGAACTGCTAAACTGAGCGCTGCCTGCCACCTCGCGGCCCGCTGGCAGGCGGAAATCACAGAGTTGAGCAAGATAACGTTGAGCTGGATGCTGGCTCTGGATGCCTGAACCAACAAACCCAAGCTCTCCTGCCAGGCTTTCTGACGGCCATGAGCCGCCATGGTAAGCCCAAACTCCTGACGGCGGTTGCGTGACAACAAGCTGGAAGATTGCTTCAATGACAGGCAACACAAGCACACGCAAGTATCGCCTTCGCAGACCTCGCCGACTGTGGAGTTGGCCCATTTTGGGAAGGCTTCGCCTCTCACACCGCCAATGGGACACCAACACGACTATGAGCAAGCAGACTGAAGACTTTCCGGCCTTGTTTCGCGACACGTCCCTTGCATGCATCCGCGGAAGACATGCCGCTGCAATTTAATTCTAGATGTTGAGCCTGTCGAACAACAAGAACGAAAGCCAGCTTGCAGGCTCTTCTCCAGCCTGTGCTTGGATTCCGACACGGGCCGTGTTTTGTTTTGTAACATGCTACACCTCAGGAGGATGGCATTCAACCAACACCTGAGAATCTGACTTGTGAAACCAAGCCACTTCGTCAACTAAGAAACAGTTGTGCCCATTCAATAGCTTCTCACTTCTTTACGGTTGCCCTAGCGGCTGTAGCGGTTGCCGATGGAGACTCACCCGATGGCTAGTTGTGAAACAAAACCGTGCGTCTTGCACAGCCTTTGGAATTGCGGCAAAGCCTATGCCGTCGGCTTCATTCAGCTCTCACTTCAATCGACTGCACCTCCTGCATGTCGACTCGACACACATGATATGGTTCCAAATGCCTGGTGCATGAAGAGAGAAGGTAGCCATTGCGGTCCTGCGCGTGAGCAAACCTCAGCCAATCGACACATGCTTTAGATCCCACCCTGCTTGCGATGTCTCACCAAGACCGAATATAGACCAAGGAGCAAGTACTGCGCCAGAAACTCGATTGGGTCTTCCGGCTGTTCCTTGCAAACCTGACACGACCGAAGCAACGGCTGTGCATACTCGGACGCAGAAACTGGGACTGAAGGCGGAGCGCCAAGAAGGCCGATCTACAAATCGAGTACCCGACATCATTTTGAAAAAACTGTTTGCTGCGAGCTGGCACACATGGAAGGAACTCGCACTCTTAAACCGCCACGAACAGATTACATCCGATTTGCATCTGGGATGGAGGGTCGATCCAGCATCGCAGTATCCCTCTCTCCGAAGTCCATATCACTTCGTCCTTGTATTCACTCCGTTTGAACAACAGTCCTGTAAGCCAGCTTGCTCTAGGCAAAGCCAGGGAAAGAGAATGCACAGAACACCCGCCTCGGTAAGGCCAGCTGTAAGAGTTGGAACGACATGCGCCCTGGCAGTCCCAGCGCATTTAGGCTTTCACCCAGTAAGTCCATCGAACCATGCCGGAATGGCATCAAATATTGCCGGAGGGGCTGCGCCTCACGACAACGTCTCTTCACAATGCAGCACTGTTTGAATCTTCGTGAAACCCCATACTTAGATGCAGGAGTTCTTTTGCAATGATGCCCCTGCACTGATGTGGTCTAGCAACGAACACAGCTTGAATCTGTACATTGGTCTAAATGACCATGGACTGTGCAACCTCTGCGACGTAATCGCTGTGAGCATATTATTCTCAACACATCAATTTCAGAGGATGTTGCCAACAAAACTCATGCAGGCACATAAGACTGGAGCAAGGCATGGGCCAGAAGACTGCAAAGGCTTGCCATCACGTAATGTGTTGCGACAAAGCCAAAGCCGCTGCTGACTTTGCTCGGCCGACGCAGCCACCAGGCGAATGCTTGGCCGATCAGTGGAGAGCCTATGACAGCACATGTCAGCGTTTGCTGCATCTTGAGCGCTGCCTGGGTCGCAGCCCCACCCAGTGCCGGGCACTGGTCTCGCACGGCAGAGGTTAGCATTGCTCTCATAGCAGATTCGACAGAAATTCCCGGAAGCCCCAGGACGAGAGCCGCTGGCAAGTGCCACCACCGATGCGTCAGCCCTCGAAGGGCTAGGTCGGCTGCACTGAAGAGAGTGCCAGCAAGCACAATGTTTCGAGCTGAAAAATGCTTCAAAGCCTTTCGTAGCAGACTACTACCGACAAAAACACAAAAGCCCCAAAAGCTAAGAAGCTTCGACATCTGGGTGTGCCCCCAGCCAAGTCGTAGCTCCATGAAGGTGTGCAAGTAAGCATCCACACACCGTGTCACAGATTGGATCGAATACATCATGGCCAGCCGGGCCAGATTGGAGCCCTGCCGAAACAGGAGTGTTGCCGATCCAAGCGGATTCAACTTGCGAAGCTCGATGGATCTGCGCCCAGAAGCTTGCAGGGTCTCCGGCACAGTGAGCATGGCACCAAGGACAAGACTGCTCAGGACACCAGCCACCCAGAAGGGTGCATGTGCTCCCATGCTCCTGCGAAGCAGTATCGACAGTAACGGAGCTCCAACGACAGCAAGGCCAACGTACGACTGGCCTGCAGCAAGTGCATCCGCCAAGTCCTTCGGTTGGTTTTGTAGCAAGTCAAACTGAGCGGAGCTGCTGACGGTGAGAAATGCCGTGTTCGTGACCGATGAGAAAGCCTTCATGAAAGCGATGAGAGGCTTGGCGGTGAGAGTTCGAGGTACCAGCGCCCCAAGCAGAGACCAGCCACAGAGTTCAAAAGGTCCGGTGAGCAGAAGCAAAGGTCGCCGTCCGTAGGCATCTGCAAGAGCACACACCGCAGGCATGGCCAGCAAGTCCAAGAGTGATTCTGCGGCTCTCTGATACATTGACCACTGGGTGAAACTGTGCGCATCCCACTCACACACTTCCAGAAGAAGTGCAGAAACATCGGAGTGAATAAGCGAATTGCAGAAGGTCTGCAGAGCAGCACTTGCCTGCAGCATCAGCAGCATCTGCTTCTGGCTCTCGATGTTGTTGAAGTTCTTAGCTTTGCATGCAGTTTCGTCCTCTGCATCAATGGCCACTAGCTCTGCATGAAAACCTTGGTGATGTTTTGCCGACCCCATCGCAAAAACGAAGCAGAGTGTTACAGACAAAGACTTCAAAAGAAGACTCTCGACTTCTGGACCTCGAGACGGCACAGACGGAGATTGGACAATACGAACTTGTTATGGGAAGTGGTGTGAGAGATGCTGCACGAGGAAATGCTGAGGCACTCGTTTAGGACTGCGGGTCCGAAGTCAAGCGGTTATCGCTGCACAAGCCAAGATCAAGTCTGTGCCAGGACTGAGAACCCACTGCCAGCCCGGCCAACGTTCAAGGAAGTCTACCAACCCCATGCTAACAATCGCAGCAGAATGTGTAGTTGGGTCCAAAGGCTGCAGATGCTGCAGCAGCTGTCGTCGCTCTGCGACACTCCGACTTGCTCCCGGTTGACATTGAAGCTTCGCGGACACGTCTGCTTTGACTGCTTAGGTTCAGCAGTCAGGTGCGGTGCCATTCACCGCCTGCCGCGAGATCTGCAAGGAAGCAAGTCTAGAGTTACAGAGTCCTAGCTCCCGGGTCCACCGATCGTTTGTGCTGAATGCGATGTCTATTTGTCGTGCACCTCGTGCAAAGCAAGCAGTGAAATCGATGCTCTTCGCTTTGAGCCAGAAGCCTGGGAAATAATCGGGATTTGCAGGGTTTCGTCTGCAACAGGTTGTCAAAGGCAACCAGTGAAATCAAGACATCGCTGCCTCCGCCTCCAAGTGTGCAGCCTCGTTGCGCGCGATGACCTCGCATATTGAAATGCGTGCGTTGCTCGACTGCTCGCCACTGGCTCAGACGATGCCCAGTCGGATCAGGCAAGTTTTGTAACAAGAACAGCATGCATGGACTGTGGGGGCTTGCCCTGCGCCGCGACTCTTCTTCATCGGCACGTTGTTCGCGCAATCCAGCCTCCTTCTGCACCAGCTCCTCCAAGTATACACGAACTCCGCTCCATCGATTCAAGCTTGTCTGTCACGGCATTTGCTGTGCTACATGGAGAAAGGAGCATGCTGAAAGGTCCTGCTTTTCCCGTGCCTTTCGCTCGTCTTTCTCCTCCTCCAGCCTCGCCTGTTTTTCCTGCTCTTCACGCATGAGATCCTCCTCAGACCTAACAAGCTGCATCTGAATCAAAACACCTTAGCTGACATGTCTCAGTACGGCCTCAGGTAGTTGAAAAACTGACCCTTGGACTCCATGTGAATCCGAACGGCCTCGACAAGACGAACATTCATGTCAAAAACAAGGCGTGGAGAATCCGTCCAACCTGGAAAGCCTCTTCCTCACTGCAGTTGTCCACATCAATGGGCAACATCTCAGAGAACACCGGTGCTTGCGCGGCGCTTTCTTCACAAAACTTCTCAAGACCAACTCACCCTTGCCCAAGTTACCAACTGACAAACCACATTGCTCCAGAAAGAACTCTGCAGTACTCGGAGTTCCGTCCTGTTGCATCACCACGGTGCAGTCTCTACACAGCTGCAGCCAGGAACATCGAACACCACATCCTCTGCAAGGTTCGCGGTGCGATATTCTGCCGTTTCCCGGATGAAATCCTGCATTGAAATGGCCAACACTCAAACCCGACGCAAGAGATGTCTCAACCCGTTGCACAATCCTCCTCGGAAGCTGGGCCTTTGGCAGCACCGTCGAATATCCTTGCCTCGATCCATAGATGTGCAGCCTTTCTTTCATTCTACACCGGTGAAGCATTTCTTCTGAGAGGGTTACTTTGCATCGTAGCTCTGAGGATCGTATCAGAACGCCATACTCCGGCACCTTGACAGCTTACCCGAGATGCATGCAAACCAACGAGAGCGCAACGCTTGAGGTTGGAACCACACCTTCTGCGACTTTGAATTTGGGCCTCGTGATTTCTTTGAGGAGGATGCCATGCACACAACTCTGCAAGGGAAATTCTACTGCAGCTATCAATCAGGAGTCACGGAACGCTTGCTGACACAGTCGTCTACGGAACAAGATGCCTCTCAGCTTCTTCGTCCTCGTCCTCTTCTTTGGGCGCAGACTCCTCAGTTTCCTTCAACATCTGGTGTTCACAAACAACTCCAACAAAAAATCATCATCAAGTACGTCGATGCGCCCTGGAGGGGCCAGCAGCAACTGCTGTCAGGTGGCAGAACTGCTGCAGAAAAGAGCGACTACAGATAGACCATATGCCAAACAAGAGACTGCTTCAAGCAAGAACTCCGATGTGTATGTGTGTGTGAGACACATCGAGCCGGCTGCACCATCGTCTGCCCGTATCTCCTTGTCTAACAACCTTTAGCAATTTCATCACCGCGAGATGTACTCATCCTTATTCTTGAGTACTGAACGCGGGAAGGAAAACACTCATAGGAGCAGATCCTTGCATCGCCAGGGTGGAAGCTAGCACCGACAACGCTAGTCGTCATCTCCGAGGCAAAGCCAACATCATAGTACTGTATCACCGCAACACCTGCGTCTGTTGATGGAGATGCTTTTCTTCAGTTTTACGTCCAGGCCCCAAACATCGCAAACCAGACCAACGGCGACTCAACCCTGAACACCGAGACAGGCATATGACATAGTGACCCTCGGTCAACAAGTGGTGTTCAAACCAAGCAAGGATGCCGTGGCCTGCCCAAGCTGCATTTTACCCTCCCAAACGCCAACTCATCTATTGCAAGAAGCCTTGACTTCACTGGCAGTCAGTCTGGCCTCTTCCTCCTCTTCTTCCTCCACATCCTCATCGCCATCATCGGCTTCCTGCATACAGGCGTACACGTCTGCTCACGACCTCTGATGTGGTGACTCTCCGGTCTAGCAAAAATCAATCATCGATTTTCTTGCAACCTGCGACGAAGTAGCCTCTCTAAAAGCAGCATGCCACAAGCGGATTTGACAATTGGTCAACTGCAAAAATGAAGCTGCACCAACATCTACCAGCGCACACGGAGAAAGGGGATCACCCATCGCATTGTCAGCTGAAAGCCGCTATCAGAGCGTGAACCTGACTCCCTAAGTCAAGTCAAGACTGAATACAAGCATCTTTGGGACTGACATCGGCTTCACTCTGTGCAATGCAGGTACACAATCTGGAGTCCCAGAATGCTTCACAGCACTTGTATCACCGTCTTCATTGGGCAGTGGATGATAAAAGGCTCACTGCCCCCCCTGCAGTATCCAAAACCCCCTAGCATCACGTATGCCACACAATGAATGGCACACGAAATATATGAAATGATCCGTCCTGGGGTGAGCCCTGCTACATCAGGCACCAGGAATGACGCAGCACGAAATGAGACGAAGGGGAAAACGCAATGATGCTGGATCCGTGAGCGAGCTATGCAGGTAAAGGAGGGTGGGGAGGCTCCGATAAGATTGAAGTCTCGGCCACATGCCCAAGCGGGAGTCTTTGTGTCCATGGGGCGTGCGTTGGACTGGCATGTGGTAGGTGGGTGCTTCGATGCATGCAACACGAACATCTCTCCGCTCTGTATAGTCACTGTAGAGCACACGAACTACAGTGAACTGCAAGAAGCCTGTGGCAGAGAAGAGTCCAAACTTTTACAACCTATCCGAAAGAGCTCAATGACACGCTGGGCATCCTGATATTCTGGCACTGAGTGGCTGATTTGCGACACATGCGGCAACCCACCTCGACTACCTCTTCCTCCTCGTCTTCGCCCTCCTTTACCTGCTCCAGAAAGAGCGCCTCAGCTCCACGATGTGTGGAAGCAACTCCCGTGCCACAAAACTGGATCACGGCGCCTCAGCTTCAGCATATGTCGTTGGGTAGCCTTCGAGAACATAGCCGCGGTATCGACCTGTAGCTTGATGGAGAGGACAACTTCTTAAGATGCTCTCAAGGAACCGGACACACGTTCGACAGGAGGCGGCTTTGCACCAACTTCGTCCTGCAATCTCCATCTAGTTGAAAGAAATGTGCAGACTGCAATCATGCACACGATGCCGAAATGTCTCAGAGAAAAGTAGAAGGGGCTTTCCCGCACTAGATGTTTCCGGATACCCTTCTACCCAAATGTACATCATCCCTTTCTTGATGGCCACTCTTCACCTTTCTGTGTTCTGCGATAGCCTAATTCATGCCGAACTCCACATTTTCAGGTGCGGAATCTGCCTAATCTGCAGTGGAAGCTTCTTGCTTGGATCGGCCGCGAGCTTCTGCACCTCATCAGCGAGACCACGCAGGGCCAAATCTCACCAAATCTCGAAATACGGACGCCGGCCTTTCTCCGAAGCTTGCGAGCTGCTTTGGTTGGTGCCGCGCATGCGTCGTCAATGATCTGCTGGTACGTGAGATGCGGCGGCTCCTCACAACAAGATGCGAATCCAGACTCTGAAACTGAAAGCCTGAAAGCTTCATCATCTTACACTGGTCTTGTGTCCCAGCATGCTCATGTGCCCTTCCTCGTGCAAGTAGTGCTTGGCAACGCGGGCCTGTGATCAGCCGCGCTGTGTCAGCGTGTCAGTGTCTCACTCTTCACAAACGATCCTCCTTCGGCGAAGACATCATGGAACTAACCAAATGCGTGCTGAGGTCCGCTCGCAAAGGCGTTCAGCCCCGCATCCGGGTGGGCCAACAACGACCTGTGATCGCAAGAGCGAGGACATGCCAGAACTGTTCAAAAATGGTTGCTTCTGATTTTTGCTCTGACTCGCGGACCATCTTGATTGGCCGCAGGTTTCGCCATTTGCAGAACTCTGCAGCCACCTTGTCTGCTGTGAGCTACTGACCAGAAGCTCGAGCTGATCGACGGCCTTCTCTATGTTGGCGATCATCCCGTCGCGGCACCACCAACCAAATGTGGGATCCTTCATCAAACTTGGCAGTCGAAAAAGTTCAAGCCGTGGAAAAGCCGGAACTTTGCAACTGCTATCCAAGCTCAAAGAACCTTGAGGGGAGCAGAAGGCTCGAGAATTAGATCGAGCGACATGACCTGTAGGCAGGCGGAAAGTGACACCAGGAACTCCTCCGAACTACTAGAGAGCCTCTTTGAATTCGGAATCGACATCTTCCGCTGGACAAACCGGCCTCCAGCTTTGATTGCACATACCGGCCGAGGCTCCGAGGCTCTGAGGCTCTGAGGCAGACACACATCTCGACTGTGTGACATCTGGGAGATGATTCCCTTCGGCCGCAGTTTCGATGCTCAATCCGCACAATCCAAACTTCAAACAACTCAGCCTGAATGATTCCTGCTTGCGTCAGTCGCGAATGGTCGACGGCCTGGAGCTAAGACTGGATCAATCCAGCATCTATGAACACATTACAATCATGCATTTTGCAACACCAAAGAAAATGTAGAGCCTTCATGTTTGTTGCGATAATCGTACCTGCTGTACGTGTGCCTCTCTGACTTGATAGAAGGCGAAGCAACATGGTCGATTCCTGTTTGTGGAATGTCTACTGGGCTCTTATCCGCATTTTTTTGGCACCTTGAAACCTTACACGTGCTACTGTCAACA